GACAAAGTTGCAGGCTGCATTAGGTCGTTGACCGCTGCAAAGCTTCCTAGAATCAGGCTTTTGCGGCAAAACGTGTTCCGTTTCCGAACGTCCAGTCAAGGCGGAAACTACGTTTTGCTTCAGGAGGACGAAGGCCCAGGATGAGATCAGGCTTAGGAATCTATCTCAGCAATTGCCCCCACCAAAACCAGCAAAAGATCTTTGATGTTGGCCCACACTTATCGAACCAAGGATTTCCTCACTTCCTCAACAAATTGGCCAAACGATTACGTGGCCTCTTCGCGGGCCGCGGCGGGTCCATCGATCCGACACAGCGCGGGACCCGCCGAATCCGCTGAGCCGGGAACGTGGCGAGGAACAATCGGGGTCGTTTTGGAAAGCATGTGGACCCCGACCCCCAACCTCCCTTTACACATCAAAACCACCCCACGGCCCAGTGTTGGTGCATATCCAACTTCTGAGGATACTTTGAGAGCCAAGATGCTCTTCTTGGGATTGTTAAAGTGAATGCCAGAGAGAGGGTCGAGACTTGGACACAGCCCGTTGAAGGTAGGGCTTGAAAGGGAAGCCCGAGCGAAAGCGACGTTGACGCAAAAGTCCTCGATTCTGGGACACAACTCAAGTGGGTAACTGCGTCTTCTGTTGAGGGCACACTACTTGGGGCCGAAGGGACCCCAAAGACAAATCCCCGTTTTCCACGGTTCCCCTGTTTTGAGACAAACCCCGACATTTTCCCGTCCATGTGGAGACCAAGGATAATTTCAGGTACACTTCCCCCAAATTAAGGTAGGCCTCTACAGGAGGGCTCTCGCACCGCTGAATTACCATCAAAGGCTTCCTGTCCACTTCCATTTGCTGGAACAAGGGTATGTGAGGTTTATTTTTGGGCCTGGCTTCAAAGCCACTGGCTGAGGCAACTGCCAGCAAGCCCAGGACAGCAAAGCGCACGACTCGTCTCCTCCTGTGGGCTTCTGGGTTGGCTGCAGCAAAGAAACCACTTAAACATCACCGCACACAAAGCCAAAAAGAAGCAACTGTGCAAAAGGTGCCACGTGTGCTACGCATGGAAAGCGTTTCATGAGTCCGTTTTGGGGGCCAAGCTGGAGTATTCAGGCTGCACAAGCATGCATCATGGCTACACACCTCATGTTTTCAGATTAATTGGCTGATGGGCCGTGGAAAGCATCCCTCTTCCGCAACACAATGTGCGTCAAACAAAATGGCCTGCAGAAGTAGAAGGCGGACCTTTGGAGGGAATCCTGCCATGAAAGCTCTCCGTCTCATACGTCGATGCGCTGAATGAGTTTTGGGACAAATGCAGTGGTTGTTCTGCGTCCGGATCGTTTCCATCGGCAACTGCTCCAAACAACGACTGAAGCCGCAGGCTCCCGATGAAGGCGCCGGCCGAGCTCATTGATGGCAGCTCGTTCTCCTGGGGGTGTTCATCCAAGACTGGATGAATATACCTGCTTTGCAGATTAATGTATTCAATTTGACATATATATCATACATACCTATATGATCCTGTATGCACACACATGCTTACGTAGGTTGAGATGCATCTAGATGCGTATTGTCCAAACCTAACCTTCACCCACACCCACCAGACAATTTCAGCTTTCCTTAAACCGGCCTAAGCCAATGCCAAACTAACCTAATACCCACTCTAAGCCCTTAAATGACATGACTCTAAACCACACCAAACTCACCTTAAACCAGCCCGTACCCTCATCTGGGCAACCCCTGACAGCCCTGAACAACCCAAAACTCACCAAGAACCGAACCCGAACTAAGCCCAAACCCACCATAAACCAAGTCTACGCCCTTTACTCCAACGCATCCTGAGCCCATCCTGAGCCAACCATACTGTAGCCTCCTAAGCCCCAGCCCGTGGGAACCAACACTGAACAATCCGAACAAACTACCCACTCTGAACCCAACCCCAAATCCAACAAACACCAGCCTAGACCCACTAATCTAAACCAACCTTTGACCAGCCTGAACCACCTCCAACCACATCCAGGCTCGCGGACCATTCCATAGGGAGGGGGGCGGGCGACCATGCGGGGGGAACAAGCCCCTGATCATATAGGCATGCGTGAGGACACGCCAATGTGGACCCAAGGAAAGGCTCAGGCAAAAGCGAATGTACATAAATGCGAGTGCAATTGTTCGTGTGGGCACATGTGCGTCAGTCTACGCCTTTGTGTCTGTATACGTTTCCATCTTGGCTTTGAGGAGGGGATTGCAGATATTGACGTTGCCGGAAACGAAAACAAATATATACTGCAAGCTCATGCATTTGTTAATTATCTCAGACTTTTTTTAGGCACAGCTTGTCGGGCAAATCAAGCCTGTAGAATCGACCAAAAGATATCTGCGGGAGCCACTAGACGCTGAAGGTAGGTGATAATGCGCTTCCCCCAAGAGCTCATAAGGCAAACAAATAACAACTATCTGAATGATCTGATAGTCAAACAATTTTATCTTATCCAGATATTCCTGCTGTATATAGACCAAACAAATTATTAGTGTTCGGTGTACTAAAACATTACACGGTATATTAAGCTAAATGTAATTGAACCATAATGTAGCAAGCCCCTCAAAAAATCCTTGGACCCCTGTCAAGTGCCCAGGTGTCACGTGTGGGAAGCGCTCGGGCACCCCCCCGAAATCCAACTGGTCGAGCCAACACGTCAACTGCTGCTTGCGGAGCCCTTTGGTATCCGAGGGAAACCAAATCCTGGTCTTCAAGAGCTTGGCCTACCCCAAACCGTGCAAAGAATCAAACCCCATTTCGAGCACCACCCGTTTGATCGAGGACACTTAAGCATCGCCCGAGCATTCAATCGCTTCTCGGGGATCTGGGGATCCGGGCGCTCGCGATGAGCAAAAGCATCACGAAGAGGACCATGTGTAGCAGCACCACCCGATGGATGCTGGCGAAAACTCCCGCCAGCGAGTGCACCTCGCCAAAAGGGACACGTGGAATCACATATCTGTGGGCTGAAGCCCCGGGCTCAAGTGGTGATTATTGTGGCATTTCAGCATGAGGCGAGGCCAATTTTGAATCAGACTGTTTATCTGTCCGCACTAACCCGTACCAAGGACCAAGGAATCCTTAAAGGGCTTCATAGGGACCAAATCATGTACCTCGTTTTAAACCCATGAGCTCGTTAGGAGTCGTGTGGCTTAGGTTCAACATATCTGGCTCGTTCTCCTTGGATAGTATTTGCTGCCTGGCTGATAGCGGGAGGCAGTGCAAATTTGGGAAAGACTCCCTCGTGGACGGTCGGCATCCCGGTGGCGGGAAAACGACACCGACCCCACCGGAGGTCATGATATCTAAGGGTACAAAAGGAAGCCGGTGACTTATCCCAGACCTGTCCTGGAAACGAAGGACCCCCACTTTTTAGACGCTGCCCGCGTGGCTTTTCTTTTTTCCTCGTGGGACGTTTGCGGAGCCGAAGACTTCGGTGCCTCCCGGTGGGTCTTCACCATGTTGGCCGCCAGCGCCCTGCGCCAGTTCACCCGATGCAGCGCAGCAAAGCGGTGCTCGTGCGGTAGCTCAAAGAGCCTGTGGGGAAACCGGGCGATGCTTGGCGTGCAGGGATCGCAGAAAATCAGGAAGAGGCGTGGGCAGTGGGGGGGTCTGCAATTCCATGGTTACAATGGGACTGGGGATCTTCCACACTCACTCTATGACCTGAAAAAGGGACCCCCCTAGACTGTTCATAGACACTTCACTCAAACCCAATTCTTCCACAACCACCAGCCATATGGCTCAGGGAAAGCCCGGAAAATGTTCCATACCAGTTCTTGGGGGGTTCCATATCACATTTTACAGGTCAACTTTCTTACGTTACCCCTTAAATCGGTTGGCGGATCCAAGTTCCGGGCCGAATGGCTTAAAACTGGCGCAACCACCCCTAGAGCAAATGGAAGCTCCGACTGGAAGACGCTTGAAAAAGGGGCATGCCTTTTGACAGAAGTGGGGTCCCTTCATGTCATGCACCTATGGCCAGTGGGCTGGCGAAAGCAAAACCTTGTTGTGGGCTTTGATTTTCAAGGGAAGCCTAGCCAAGAAAGGAAAGATGGGCATCACTGGAGGTCTGCCACACAAATGAGTCAACAAAGGAACCCCAAAGCTGCAGTATCCGAGGTTGATATCGGGCATCAACCCACTCCACGAAATGTGGGAACCTCTGGTCGAGGGCCCTAAGCATCCAAAATAAACTTCTGTGACCTACTTAACACTTGCTCGGAATTCTGAATCCACTATCGCAAGGAAACGCAAACAAAACAGAGCCTTCATGTCACTAAATCTGCTGGATGCAGTCAGTCACTTGCAACCAACAGTCCGCAGCAAGTGGCAGTTGCAGAAAGCGGAACAGTTCCATGCGTTCACCTATGGTACGTTTAACTGACCTCCTGGCAGAGAGGGCCGACATTAAGTTGAGTAGTTTGCGGCAAGCGGGATGCAGGATTTGTACCTGGCTGCTGCAAGAAAGATCGGCAATCTCGCTGCCGGGGTCACACGCTGCTTTCTTGTACGGTCGAGTTCTGCCCCTCGGCGCCTGGTACCATCATCCAAGCAGATGCGGTCTGCCATACGGGCGGGGTCACAGAAAAGCTCGTCCCAGTCATCGTAGTTTGCAGTGTCTGCCTCAGTCCAAGCGATGCAGCGATGCAGCCAAGCCCAAGCCCCTGTGACGCTGAGTTGTTCAAAATGGGAGACTCCAAAATCCCCAATCCGTTGTGGGACGCCACTGCAAGGCAACCCACTCTAGAAGGATGAAGGGTTGATTCTGAACGAGCCAGTTTGAGAGCAACGGACGCCTCTCTGCAAGACGGTTTGGAGGTGCTTTTGCTGGATTCATGTGCTCATCTATTATTTTTCTTTTGTACCCCGAGAAGGGTTCGGTTCACAACAGGTGCATAACAGAGCCCTGGAGGATTTGAAACGCTCCACTGAGGGTGCCAAGAAGGTCGCGCAATCCCTCCCAATGAGCCTGGCAGTCAACTCGAAATGGAGCTGTTGCTAAGTGTGCACGCTAGATGCCTTGCACAACAAGCAAAGCTTGAGCACTCAACCACCAACCACCTTGTCCCTCAAGCCGGTGCTCGGTTGATTCACGTGTTTGTTGAGGCTTACAATTGCGCGCCATCGAAATGTGCAGAACACACTTTGATATAGGGTCGTAACCCTCCAAACCCAGAGTAATCCCACAATACAAATGTTAGAAGAAAAGCACGCCAAATGCCTCCAAGCACAACTCCGAAATACCGACCCTGAAGAAACGTGGCCTTTCTCCTCCAAACTACGTGCCTCTTGCGTTTGGGGAATGCGTATGGGAAGGGCCCCTTTTGAGAGCCCTGCGCCGAACTCCGGGTGAATGATATCGACCTTTTCCTCCAGTAGGGCGCTAGCCGTCTGCTCTCAACGTGTGAAACGGCGACGTGAAAAGGCCCTGGTGAAAAGGCCCCGACCCAGGAAACGTCCTAAGCTTCCTGAAGCTGGAATCGCCTGCACAAACTAGTTTGAAGGAACTGGTGAAGCTTCAAAGAGACCAGCTGCAAGAATTATGATATTGGCAATATGGGGTCCTCCTACGCACAGTTTACCCTGCCGACCCGACTGGAAGGTCCGGGTCGCGTTTCCTCTAAAAGGGACCTTCTGGTGAGTTCCACGTTGGTGGACGGGAAGGTACCGTGAAAATGAGGGATCCCATAACAAGGAACCTTCGTGGGCGTGCGCGCGGCAAAAGGCGAGCTCGCAACATGTGCAGAGCCACCCGAGGCTCGCCCCCAGTGATCGATTCTGCGGAAAGGGGGATATCTGACGGGCAATGGACGTCTGCAAGTCTTAGGCTGATCACGGGAACCTTAGCTTGGTTTGCCCATGCAACAAGTTCAGCTTCTTGCTTGTCGAGAAAACCGTCACTTTCCAAACGTGAAAAGGTTGAAATCGGAAGCTTGGAAGCACCTCCGGGGTCCGAAGCTGTCGTGCCCCGAATGAGATCTGGAACGCGCGCTTGGCGGCGGCCAAAGCATCGTCCCTTGCAACCCGAGGATCCTCAAGCGTCCGAGGGTTGCAGAATTGATCAAACACCTCGATAGACATTCAAGCATGTCGCCTGCTCTTTGCAACACACGCCAGGTCCACTAAGTCTAAAGTGATATTACAAAAAACATCAGCCAAGAAGTGATCAAGAAACGAGATCATGTGCTTCAAGCCTTAAGCAACCGCAGCGTCACTTTCATGGACCAAGGAGCACCCCTTCAACATGTGATCACTGCATTGGTCGCTCAAACATTCTCAAGCTGCAGGTCCTGCAACCCCTTGTTCACGACGAAATGTTTGACCACCGAAGCCAATGGAAGCCTTCGGCCAACCAAACATCCGTCCTTTCGTGCTGTGACAAACCCACTACCCTCCCAAAAAAGGTCCTAAACCTGGAACGCGGCATGCTTGAGCCCCCCGGCTTAGCTTATGGCTTTGCTTAGAAAGCCCACTGGCAAACGCCAATAAGTTCGGCATTTGAAAGCGCCTTCCGCAGGTTCTGAGAGTCGACTACCTAGAGCCCTCAGAAGAAAGTGGCGACGCCGGCTCTACCTCCCCGAGCACTTCGATGGTGTAGAAGGCTTCTCGGCAGAAGGGCATGGGTCGCACAGACCACGGGCCATTCGTGGCCAAACGGCTGGAGATGCTCTCCGGAAAACGCGAGGCAGTTTCTTCCAGGACCCTTGTCCAAGGCACCAGCTCCCGCACTCGATCTACTCGTTCCGGCTCTCGCTCTACTTGCTCTACTCGCTCTACTGGCTCTGCTCGCTCCAGCTCTTCCTGCTTCTTGGGTTCTTTGGGCTCTGGTGAACTTTTCTCCAGAGTCTCCAGGCCATCCACCTTGAACCAGGAGGCGCCGGTCAGGGGGCACCCAGAGCTGGCAAAATAGGCGGCGTCATCCTCCTCTGCCTCAGGGTCAGCTTTGTTGCAACGCCCTCTCCTCTCCCCAACCCTTGCCATAGTAGCAGAGACACTTCAAAAGGGCCTATGAGTTGGTCCCTCACCCTTGCCACCCCAGAAATGCCCAGGCCTCAACCTCCTCGTCCGCCTGCTGGCGCTTGGGGGAACTTTCCGTGGCGGCGGCCGCCTCCGAAGTTTCTGCCAGGAAGGTGGAAGTGGAGCCAGTTCCTCAGACGAAACATCTGGACACTTGCGGCATCCAAGCACCAGTCCTGGAAATGGGTGTGCTATTCAGGGGACCCCAGAGTGGTGGGTTTCCTTGCGGTTCCCTTTTCAAACCACCAAAGAAAAACGATGCCCTGAAAAAAACACCTAAATCAGCTATTTGGGTGATGTTTGACTGGCATAAATGTATCTATACACATGGGATCCTGTCACAATTCCTCCAAGGACAGTGTCGCAAGGATAGCAGCTTGGCCCCAGGTCTTCATATCCAAGAGTTCTGCTCGATGGGCTATTTTCGAAAGTCTGTTGCCTTCTACACTTTTGGGTCATTTCCGGAACATCACGTGTGGTCGAGAAAACTGCCCCATTCACTTGTGCCTGTCAAGGTCCAGTCCAGCCGCAGGCCTGGGCTGGCTCAATGTCTAGCGCTTTTCACAGTCCCAGGAATCTCTATGTTGGAGCCCTCGTTTGCTTGCTGCAAACATGATCATGTTGTCGTCCTTTTTAGCGGGAAGATTCCAATGGTTGGCCGCCACATGCTGTCAAAAAGGGGCCGCTGCTGCAAAGGCTCCAGTGGACAAATGCCGAGGACGCCGGGACTTCTTTTTGCCCTCAATGTTGCGCACGAGGTGGTCCAAGTTCCTGCCTTCAGTCCCTGGCAAGTGAGCCAACTCCCAAAATGGGCCCACCCAACACACACGAGTTGGCTTCGGGGGATGCATCACATGATGCTCGAAAAGGGTGACTCCCCTAATTAACGGAAGAACCCAAAAAAGGTTCAATCCTCCAAAAAAATAATTCCTATAAGAATGGATCTCGGGTTTTCCGGGGGTGCTTCCACGTTAAACTCTACGCATGCCCACCCGCCAAACCCATGCGCCTGTCCGCGAGGTGACCTCTTCCACCGCACGCTGCAGCACTCGGGTGACCCCGGGCATCTTCCGCCTGCGCGCCGTGTTGAAGGCGTCCTGGAGCGGAACGTCGAGGGCGAGCCCGGAACGAACCCGGCAGCCGAGGGACAGGGATGACTTCGTATTTTTCCCGGTTCAACACACCCACCACAAACTGTTCTGTTGTCATGTTCTATGCAGGACGCGCCATCCAGCGCCCGGCCCTGTGGTCCTCCAAAGAAGCGCCGTGCAAAATCAGTTCTGCTGCTACTTCGCGATGGCTGCCCATGCACGCCTGCGCCAGGTTGGATCGTTTGGGAGAAACCTCACATCACTGCAACTTCCAGCCGTGCTTCTGCCAACAAAATTATGGCACATATTCACTGGTCCTGTCCCTCAACACTTGGTCAGTTAAAACAGGAGCAACAACACCAAGCTGAAGGTTGCCAGCTTTCCAGACCCGAAGGACCCAACCACGTGCAATGGGTACATATATGGGGGCAGCAAATTGTTGTTAGACGTTTGGTGAGGTCGTCTTTCGTCCACCTGGCTTGCGAGGGCAAACATGGCTCACCAACCCTGGCATTCGCAAACAAGGAAGTAGCATGGACCCTTGGAGCCTTTGAAAACACAACCGGGAAACCCGCTTCTGCGATTTTGACCCCATATACATATATATATATATATATTCCATGTATCAACCACAGTTTATCAATCCGCCCTGGTAGTCTTCTGTGAAACCACAACAAATCGCCATGCCCTTTGGTGGGGCCTTGGACACCACCCAGGCAAGACGATATGTGCAAGGAGCACCCTCAGCCACAACCCAGGGGCCAATCCCTCCGTACCTCCTGAGTCTTGACATGTGTCAAAGAAGGTCCCAGAGAAGGCTCCCGCACACAAGCGGGAACATTTCTCAGATTCAATGTCATGTGGGCGTGTCAACTTGTTGAGTATCCTTTTTCTGTTGCCTTTGAAGGAAAACCAAAGGGAAACCACTGGTTGGGATTCCCCTAAGAGACAAACCCATGTATCATCCCGCCTGAATCAGTGCCGTGGTCCCATCCGAGGCCGCGCTGGAGGCCGGCACCCCGAGCTGCAGAAGCTGCTGCGTCACCTCGCGGCTCGTTTCTACGGGTCCGCTGTGGAAACGGGTCTCCTGTCGCTTTTTGTACGTCCGACGTCCAGCATTTTGAGAACCCCCCAATCAACTTTGTTGCTGCTTTGTCTGTGTTGGGCCTCGTTGGGCGGGGACAAGGGCCCAGAAAGGACTTACACTGATTGCGTTTTTGGATACACGACTAGTAGGTAGCATCAACTGGCCCCATAGCTTAGTGATCCAAGTGCTTTGATGCGCCTGCACTTTGAAACCTGGCATTTGGCATGCTTCTCGAGTGTTTGTACCCAATTTGCCTTAATGCGATGTTTCAAGCACATGTCGCGCAAAACATAGCACTGCCAGGCAAACGGTGGTCGGTGAAAGACCCGTGCTATGTCGCTGCTGGCATGCCAAGCTTCAGCCAACAAGCCTAGCTTGCTGTCTGGCTTGATCGCAACTGTCTTTTGCGAGGGCCGGGTCTTGGCACCGTCTTGCCTTACCTTTGCGTACCTTACCTTGGGCTCATCCCCTCCCTTCCCTCCCGGCATGACGCAATATCCTGTGATACCGAGGCGGGGTTGGCTAAGCATAAATGATGCAAACATCAACCAACACTGGGGCGCAGCGTTCTAGATAGGTAGATAGATAGATAAGATAAGATAAGATCAGATCAGATAAGGTAAGATAAGATAAGATAGATAAGACAATATGATAAGACAATATGACATAAGATAAGATAAGATAAGATAGATTAGATTAGAATAGATTAGATTGGATTAGATAGATAGATGGATTAGATTAGATTAGAATAGAATAGATTATATAGATAGATCAGATACGATAAGATAAGATAAGATAGATTAGATTAGATTGGATTAGATTAGATTGGAATAGATTAGATTGACAGATAAATAACTAACTAGATCAGACAATTATATAGATAGATAGATAGATAGATAGATAGATAGATAGATAGATTGATTGATTGATTGATTGATTGATTGAATGATACATAGATAGATAGACAGATAGACAGATAGATAGATACACAGATTGGATAGATAGATAAATAGATTGATAGGATAGACAGATAGATAGATAGATAGATAGATAGATAGATAGATAGACATACATATAGATTGATAGATACGATAGATACATAGACAGATAGATAGATAGAAAGATAGATAGATAGATTAGATAGATAGATAACTAGATAGATAGATAGATAGATAGATAGATAGATAGACATACAGATAGACATACAGATAGATATGTGGAAAAATAGGTAGATTGATTGATTAGATAGACAGATTAGATAGATCGATCGATAGATATGTAGATAGATAGATAGATAGATAGATAGATTGATTGATTGATTAGATGTATTATATCGATAGATAGATAGATACATAGATAGATAGATTAGATAGATGGATGGATGGATGGATGGATGGATGGATGGATGGATGGATGGATGGATGGATGGATGGATGGATGGATGGATGGATGGCTTAGATATGTAGATTAGGTAGGTAAGGTAAGGTAAGGTGAGGTACGGTAAGGCAAGGAAAGGTAAGGTAAGGTACGGTAAGGTAAGGTAGGTACGGTAGGTAGGTAGGCAGGTAAATAGAAAGATAGACAGACAAATGGACAAATAAACAAATAAATGGGTAGATAGATAAATAGATAGGTAGATGGATACACAGATAGCTAGATAGATACAAAGATAAACATAACCGTAGCTGTAATATGTTTGAAGCTGCCGCCCACCAGCTTCGACGGCCCTGGCAATCAAGCTGGGCTAAAAAAAAAAACTTCCAATAAACACAACGCTTAACGAGGGTAAGAACACAGATATATGGGTATCCAACTTTTCAATCCGGACATTGAACAAGAATATCAGCATTCTCAGTTGAACACAAAGGGCAAAGTTGTTTGACAAACCATGGCAAGCGTGGGTGCAAATGGGCGAGCTGCGCGCTCTACTTGGGAATGTGCTTAGCCCAAACAGCTATTCTAGAGAAAACTCAGGAACCTCCTTTCGGGCTCCATGCTGATATGTGGGAGGAATAACCCCTCGCAGAGCGATTCCAAGCAACGGCTTGAATTGGCTGATTTCTTCATGGGGATATCCTTCACTAACCTTGCCCTCGATGTTAGTGGAAAGCGTCCCTTTCTGCAAGCCAGAATGCGCAGTATCTATGATTACTTCAAAGACTTTGTCACCTTAACAGACAATGACACCAAAAAAATGCCTCCCAACCCCCCCCCACCCCACCTCCAAGTGCCCATTGGCACACGCGGAGAAAAAGGCCTCGCAGCAGCTGTGCGCTCCGATCCGGGGGGGGGGGGGAATTGGGGGGGGAGGGAATTTCATCTGGAACATAAACCATGGACCTGCATTTGTTTGTTTCCAAATCTGTCAAAGGCCAAGGAAAGGACGTGCAGCGTGAGCTCGTTATACCCCTAGTCATGCCGCACACACTCAAAATGACCACTTGTGGGTTCCTCTCGCGGGGGCATGACCCTATTCTGACTAACTTTGGATGTAAACGTCGGAGAACTAAATATGGCCTAGGATAGGTCTAAATCGCGATATCTCAAAAATCGGCCACACCATGGACTCAGACAAATGCGCACTCTAGCCCGGCACCTGTTCTGGCTCGGTCACAAAAGTCCCCCCACAAGCGCAAACTGACCTGATAGGCCTGCCTTATGCAATCAATCCACCAGCCAAAGGAACATCTGCCTAGGTTGAAGCCAAGTTTATGTGCTAGAATGACTTTTTGTTCGCTTGTTTGTTCAAGCCCCCGCCTTAAGAGTCCAAACACCGCCCAAAATCCACAAACCTGGAAAATGGAATTCCTGGACACCCGTGAGATATGAAAGTAGACACGTGGAGTCCATTGAGCTGAGCCTCAGGTCTTGAGATGTCGAGGCCCCGCCAACCGGACGTAACGGTCTTGTTTGCAAAGGCTCGTCTCCATGGTTGGTCATGCAATATTCCGCCATGGCCCAGCATAACTCACATCTGCTTCCAGGGTGGATAGCTCTATGCCCCACTTTCCTACTTGGGGAAATCGCCACATCCGAACCCGCCGCTAGCATCGCGCCGCACCTCTGCGGCGTCACTGTCGGACCAGTGCGCCGCTGCAATGAGCAGCTTCACCACCTGAGATGGCGCCCAGAAAGGGCCGGTCACCGGAATCGGAACCGATCCCCGAGATGTTGCCCGGTTTTCCGGCGGTTCTCCAAAAAGAAAAGCAAACCCCAAAAGGGCGTGCTCCAAAAAAGCGACCTGCTTTGAGGCCTTGAACTTGTACAACCATGCGCAAAGGGCGGTCTTCCAAAAGGAGCCACTTCCATGAATTCCACGAATGAGTTCGTGGGGTACTTTGTGGGTACTTTGGAACCCAAACTAGCTATCATGAGTGCTGGAGGGATGCTTGGAGGGGGATGTGGAGGGATTGTTGGGGGTATTGTTGGGATTCACAGACATTGCGTGTTGCAGGAGCCACAACAATGCCATAAGCTCAACAAGGCCCCTAGCGAGATCCCCGATATTCATACACTTCACCCCTAACTTTGAAAGCGATTCTGTCAACCTGGCTCCATACCGCGCCGGAAATCATCTTACCCCCAGCCGGCTTGCATTGGTTGGTGGACAGCCCAGGGTTCAATAAGCATCCGCTGAGACCAGCCAAAGTAGATAGCTTCAGGGCTTGAAGTTCCTCTGTAGCGCACAAGTCTGCAAGAACGAACGGCTGGGGCTCAAGCGTCATCTTTGAAAACCTGAAAACCTAATGCTTGGCATACGGTGCTGTCACGGTTCAGTTCGTGGTTCAGTGGGAAGGGATGCCTCATCTGTTCAGTCCAATTTAAGTGTAACAGGCAACCCTGAGTTCAGAAACTTCCCCACTACAACCATCCTATCTCGACTGAACCAAAGACGAAAAGTTATACAATCCAGTTCTAACATGCCCCGAGTAGATGATGCCACCATGTTTTGTCTTCATTCATTCATGCCGCTGTTTCTTTTCCAGCACTCGTCAAAAGGACGCACGCCTGTCCCTTCGCCAAACATAGGCCCCACAAAAAGGTCGCCACCTGCCGCAGCAATGAAGCCCACTCCAAACACAACGGGCACATCACGAGAATTCCGACTCCTCGCCCCACCGACCAACGTCGACCGACCGACGGACTCGTCGCCTGGCCCTGGCCGTTGCCGGAGGCCGCGTGCAGCGCGGTGAACTTGTTGGGCCGCGTGTCTGCGCCGTGGGCCAGCAGCAGCTCCACCACCTCTGCGTGCCCGTACCTAGGCTCAGCTCCCCGCTTTTTTCAGCGGTTTCTAGTGGCGGAAACCGGACTTCCTCGTAGCCCCCAAGAGTTTCGATTCAAGTACTTTGCTGATCATCCGATTCTGCTTCCAAGAACCTCGCAAATTCGTGCAAACTGGCACACCAAACTCTGGAGGGCCAAACCCTAAACCCATGATTTGCACACCCACCAAAGATGCTTTTGCCTGATGATCAATGGTTGAAAAGCTGTTGGGCAGTGGGTTGCCACTGGTTGCTGGAATTGTTGACTGAACATGTGTTTGGCGGTGTGCTTGCCACTTTCTGTTGCAGGCAGTGAAATTTATTCTGCATTGTTTCATCGGTGTTTGCAAGCTGGTGCTGTTGTTGAGGGGGTTGAAAACGTGCAACTCTCCTTCAAAGTCCAGATGCTTTATGTCTAATGACCCATGTCTATTCCCCATATTTCTTTATTTCTTTCTTTCTTTCTTTCAGCGTCCGCTCCCAATCCGGCAGTGAACAAATTCAAACTGAAAAGAAAGGGACAAACGTCGAGCTACGAGCCCTTGTTACCTATTGAGACATGAACCTGGCCCCATCATCATTGATTCGCCAAAGTTGTCAAATGGAGGCACGTGTCCCCAATTGTACTGCCCTTGAAGCAATTAGTTCACTCACTGGGGACAACGGCGCGTGGCAAGCTCCAATGGAGCTCGCGATGGAGCTCGCGATTCCTTTCTGGTCGGGTCACATTTTCCGGCACGCAGCCAAAGCCAGCACCTATTGTACCAGCTTCCCTCCAATTGATGGTTTGGGCTCGCGGTTTGGAGTTGGGAGGTTTGCCATGTAGCCTCTACCCGTTCCAATCCCCAATCCAAATCACACGCTACCTGACCTGAGGCCCCCGCAAGCTTGCCAGGATCAGGGCGGTGCGGCCGCTGGGGGTAGCGTGGCTAATGCTGGCCCCGTGCTGAAGCAGCAGTGAAACGAGCTCCCTGTGCCCGCCGGTGCATGCCTGAAACGGATAGACGGCAATGAAATGCCTATGATTAAACAGGCACCTCCCGTCCACGAACATGGAACCCCTATCTAAATTCCTTCTAGAAAAATGGTCGTCCAGGACCCCCCAATCAGGTTCGACATTGGTGGAGTGGAGGGTAAATACTTGCTTTTGGCAGCAAAGCCACAACCTAAGTTCTTTCAGATCGACCTTTGACATAAAGAATTCTACCCAACGACCTAGGACAAATAATAATTCACCCAAACAGTTTTATGGAACTTGGCTCGACATATTAATATTTTCGTGCAGTTCCCCCCCCCCCACCCAAAAAAAAGAAAAGAAAAAAAAAACAACAACTCCGCCTCCATAAGGGCGGTGAATCCGTCGGCGGCCGCCGCATCTACGGAGGCGCCAGCGTCTAAAAGGAGCTGGGAGACTAAGAGGTGGCCGCTGCTACCTGGGAGTCTGAGGATCGATTGGGTTATGAGGGCCTCTGAGGCCATTTGCTTCCTATCCGATGTGGGCCCTCCACCCAAAGATGGTCACTTTTAGGTGGCAAGGCAACAATGAAGGAAGCACTAAGTTGACGAAAAGGCAAAAGGGCAAAGGGCGAGTTAAGTCTGGCAATGAATGATTCCGAAAAAATGTTCTCGCCCCAACTCAAATGGTACAACAAGGGCGTATTTGCACAACAACCACAAGATGGTCCACAGAAAAATGCCGGCTGTTCAGTTGAAAGGACGTGCTTGCCACTGACCGCCAGGCTTGACTGGTGTCTAACATCTTGTTTGGCTATGAAGATGTGTAGCGTATGCATACATTGCATAACACTTGTTTGCAACAACACCCTTCGGCACTTGCGAAACACTTCTGCCATCGAGGTCCAGCCCTTTGAGATCTCCCCTCGGTATGTGAAAGGTGTCTCAAAAGAACATCCGGCGCCTCTGCTGGATTGCACGGAATGTTTGGATACTATCCACATTTGCCACCCAAAGATTAAACATGAGCTCTGAATGTTGAGTCTCGGGACTCGCCCCTGAAATCTCTTCCCGAATTCATGATATTTATTCCGTTGCCAGACCCCAATACAAAATCAGAATTGGGCAAATCTGACCTAACAACTTTCCCGCCCGGGTCAGCCGACGTGCCGAACCTTCGTGCATCTCGACGCCGAGCGGCATGCAGACATTAAGGGCGTCCAGCCATCCTTTGCACAGCGAGGCTAAGTGATTCGACTTTTAAAGGCAAGCTGTTCGTTCGACTGGAAGCAACCTTACAGTTGCTTAATGAGACCCTCGGATACTGCCAGTTTGGAAACACGGTGCCGCTGACAGGAAAAACTGTCGCAGTTTGATTTGACTTTAATGATTTTTATCTTGATCCAGGAATAACTGGACAAAAACACGCGAAAAAGGAGCAAGCGTTGGACGACGGGGAACTCACGTTACAAGAACAAGGAACGAGGTGGACATTCCCAGGTGCTTAACAGCTTCACATGACCCTCAGCCTCTAAAATGTAAGCGGTGCCTCTCAAGACTCACTTTGAGAAGCCTTCATTTTGTCCCAAGTCGGGACTGAGAAAATAAAGCTCTTCGTGTTTGGGGGGCCTTCGGGGTCCCTTGGTACAGTATGCAATCCACAATTCAACAGGGGTCCCATATAGCGTCACCGGACTTTTAGGAAACTCACTTTGAAAAGCCAACCAAAAGGTGATAAACAAATAGCCTCCCCTCCCCCCCAAAAAAGAAGGGGGGGGGAAGGAGCCCGGAAGCGCCACAGCATCGTCTAGTGTAATGGTAGCCGGGCATCTGCGCGTGTGCAGTTCACATTGGCGCCCTTCTGCAACAACAAGGGCACGAGCCCCACCAGGCCCTTGCCTCGGATGCCGTCAAACAGTCTGCCTCACTTCCCGAGGTGGTTTGGACATCTGGGGGGCGGGGGGGAACCTTCCCGTTTGGTTTCAAAAGGAACTGGGGTTCTCATCCCCAAACCACCCCCCCGCCCAAAAAAAAGGAACCAGAAAAAATGGGTTTCACCCCCCAAACAAGTCAAATTCAGAAATCAAGGAGTGAGTTGCTAAACCCTCAAAAAGGGATGGGACGTAGGGGCAATTTAGTGAGTCTCCCTATGTCCCCCCCCAATGGGGACAAAATTACAGCATGTGTTAGCCCGAGCTGAACTTAAATGAAGCTGGGCCACTGAGCAATGTAATTCCGGGATGACCACAAGGCGGGGAAAAAAATCCCTCGTAATCAACGGGGGCTGTTCATCCACTGGGCTTCCCAATTCCACTGTGCGACCTCACACCCTGGTGCTCCGAAACCGAACATGGTTGACCTAGTAAAACTACACCCATTAAATCCGACAGCCGTCTCCCTAAGTTCCAGCCTGCGGCGGTCACAGGCCAATGTGACGCTGACAAAAACTGAGACCACTTAAAACAGGTTTAAATATGTTCAATCATGCAGTCTTCCCATTCCTTGGCTTAGTCCCTGTGAAAACCGCCATTTTATGGAATCCTCATGGCGGTCTCTTGTGCGGTCTCTGCGAGCCAAGGTGACCTTTACCCATCACGCGGCCATGGTGAGACATTGTAAGGGCTATTGGCAAAGGGAAGCTGAATCGAAGGAAACCCTAATGATCAATCGGACATGACCCTAAGTCATTCAAGCACTACTGTTGAAATCTTGCATTCTCTGCCAACCATGGATGATGCAACGTTAGACCAATCACCCCTGGAAATGGTCGAAAGGGGGGTGACTGCGGCAAAGCTAGGCACCTTGAAGCTTTCCCGGCTTGATTGTTGGATGCTGGACATGTTAGTGGGCCAATCGGGCCCACCGGAAGCGAAACGGTGCAACTGGGGCAGCTATGTCTATGTGGAGGTAAAACCTAGCAGTGGCTTGCTTTGTGTTTTGGTGTTTTGGGGGAACTGAGAGAGCGGCTTCCATATGCTAGCGCAACATTGGGATCCAACTTCCCGTCCGACCACTTCCTGCGTTCCTGAGGGCCCGGCTGCAAGCAGTCAGTAGCTGTTCCGAAAGGCGGTGGTCCATGATGCGCTGGAGAAATGCGTTTGAAAACAGCTGGGCCCCTCTGCAGATAGAAAGAGGGTACATTTCATGGCTCCCGGGTCTGATTGGATTGGGTTTCTGGCTGTCTTTGCCTTCTCTGGCTGACGCCTGGGCCCTACATCCTGGGCCGGCGGGTGCGGGAGGCAAAGCAGAATGTCCAAAGCTCCTGTGACGCACCAGTGCACGGGTGTCACGCCTAGGCATCCTTTTCAGGACGATTGACGGGTTCCACCGGTAAATGACTGAAGCAAGACTGACCGTGCCATCGATGTTCAATGATACTGACTTAAAAGGATACCTACGGCGGCCCAAAGCTTGCAACGCTTCTAGACGAGGCCAGTGCTGGGAGGTAGCGATGGAAGTTGTCCTTCAGAACCTTCTTGTCCTTGTTGGTCTTCTGGTCCACATCCACTTTCACATACCACTCCTCGATCCCGCATGCTGTCGCCAAGGTACTCGTCAAATCTCTTCAAGGTCACCCATGTTAGTGCAAAACGGTTGCTCTGTGCGGTGGTTCTAAGTTGTTGCTTGAGGAGCTAGAGATGGATGCGCTTACCTCAGAAAGACCCGGCGTTCATAGCATACCAAAGCAAACGGGGCCGTTGCAGGTTTTGAATCAAGTGGGCCCCCTGAAGGAAGGACGCCCCGAAAAGGTGAGCCCCCTTGATAATGAAGTGAGGCGTTGATACCTAAGGGTCGACATTGCTTCTCGGAAGCTTGCAACCAACAGCCTAGAAACACTGGAAAGGTGGGGGCGTCACCATGAAGGGGACCCTCGGACCATCAGCACGCATGCCAGCGGCCCAAGGCGAGCGCCGAGCGCGTGCTGTTAAAGCAAAGAACCCCAATCCCGAAGCGAAAGTCAGCACCCGGAGTAGTAGCGTTGAAGTGGCGGGCGCGCGCCATCACCAGCAACTCCGCCAGCAGCACTTATGCACGAAGCAGCAGGCATTCGCTGTCCAAGTGCTGAATACAGGGCACTGCACGGAAACAAGCTCCGGAGCCCAAGGTCTAAGATGACACTGGCATGCTGCAATTGCACCAGCCAAAACTCGTGGGTCAGCACGAAGCACACGCTTCAGCAAAGGGCAGACTCAGGCATCGCTCGCTAGAACACAAAGCCAGCATTTGCAGCATGCCAACAGCCGCAAGCGCTTGCCGTGCCTGCAAACAAAGTACACCAGCACGAAAGGTGGAAACACTTGCTCTTCTTCCAACAACCCAGCAGCCCATCTACAAAGGGCATGTGCCCGTTCACGTAGTCAAAAATACCAGCAGTTAAGACTGGCGATCCGTTAAGACTGGCAACAACACAACCCACACTGCGCAGAAGTCGGCCAACACATCACCAAGCAGGATGCGCCAATGTCATGACGCAACCCTGCAAAACACAACATGCACAGTCCCGAATCCAGCTTCATGCTCACACGAACCCAGCAGTTTCAAAGAAGCTGCACCAAGGATGATGCCACCAAAAAAGCCAGCGAAAACGATCGACGCCACCCGGCCACAAGAGTTACTGCAAGCCAACTGCCAAAAGAAAAGTCCGATCGACCCACCACCCTGCCAACAAGAGAAGCAAAACGCCATGCTGGGAGCTTTGAGGAAGTCCTCGAGCCAAAGCCTTCATCGACAGATGCCAAAGACTTTCAGGGTGAACTCAGAAGGATACCAATACAAACATCGCCAGCTTGACCAACATCCCCGGCATCATCCGCAAGTAAGAGTATGCGCTCGACGGCTGGATAGTTGTTAGAAGTCAGGACCCCAAAATCACCAAATGGGTTGCAGTCAGGCACGATTATCATGTGCAAAATTGGTCTGATAGTGAACCAAGGTTGCTACTGACACTCCAAAAGCCTGACCCGAAAGTGAACCAAAGTTTTGCCCCCGGAGCTTGCCATCTCGGCAGATTTGCCCGCCTCGAACACCACGTTGTAGATGGGCCGGGTGATCTTCGCCAGGAAGAGGTTGCTCTTGCGGGTGCCGCCGCTGCCCTCATAGACGGAGCCTGAAGAGGAAATTCGAACCCGCCAGGATACACGCCAAAAACAAGCACCAAATTCTTTGCCCCACAATGGGAACCCAGCAGAAGTGAACCCCTGGGTGATGAATAGTGGATGGGCACCCAGTTAGGAATCCGGATCTCAGGCAACGAGCACTCAGGTCTACTTTTGGGTGACCCTCAAGCGTTCTACCGCATGAGTTTCTTCGGGATGCTTGTCCCGCGGTCCGGAGATCGGAGCCCAAGAAACTTCGACTCTGCATGGTGACTCCAATGCTTGGCTCCGAAAGCCTGGGACTCCCAGAGATTCGGCCCACAAAAAACGTGCGCCTCCCGCCAACACGTCCTCCGAAGCCAGGGCCAGCTCCGTGAGGAAGTAGATGAGCTCCGGCCTTCATCTGCTCATGTGCTAGCCCTCCAACCCCTCGATACTAGCCAGCAGCATCCCAGCTAAGGGAAAGCACCAGTTTCTGTGTTTGCCTGCTTGGGTAGGGACAATAGGGATAGTGGAAAAGAGCGAAGAGTAACTTAAACTTGCGGCTTTCTTCTTCGCGTTTGGCACGCGCGTGTAACCAGACTTTGCCGCAAAGAACTTCACCTATGGACACAGACATGAAAGTGCCATGGCCAACTCTCAAACGAATTGCTTGCGCAGAATGGCCGGGATTCGATGCAAATGGCCGGCTCGCTTTTGTGCCTTCCCTCATCTAGATCCCCACTCGGTTTCCAGGTGCCCCCGCCGGTGAGAGAAAGAGGCGAAACACCCATGACCACCGGAGGGAACGCACCATGTACTCCGCACCCGTGGCCGCGGTTTGCAGGGCATCCAGCCTATAGTGCATTTGGTTGACCCCCGAAAACCAAAAATCCATCAGTTTTCCATGGCAGTCACGTGTATTGCTTCACGAGCCCCAGAAGTTTTGCCGGGATATTGATCAAGGGCTGCCACTCGTGTTGGCCGCTACAACATTCCACCTGAGCAAAAGAAAAAATATTGTATGTCGGCTAGGGGCCTCGCGTGGAAGACGGACATCGTGCCACACACACACCGCATTTGTTGAAAATAACAATCTGTTGCCACTGATTTGTGGGTGTTTGGGAGCCCCTTTGCACGGCTTGGAAAGGGAGGCCAAATGGGCGCCAATCATCTGCGGAGTCCTCATTGTACGACACACGCATTTGCTCCCATGGAGCACCTTTGAGAGGGGGATTTTCCGTCCAACACGCGCCCAAGGCCCTCGCATGAAGCGGATGTTGCCTGCCTCACCCCAAACCTGGCAGAGAGGCTGCACAAGCTCGCAGCGACGCGGGCACAGTGACCCTCTTGTTGCTCCGCGGGAAACAACTCAAAGTCTCAAATGGACGCCTTCCGCGTTCTCTGGTCATGGAACATACGGCACCTGCAAAAGCCTGTCCTGCCCAAACTTGGAATGTCACACCGCTTGGCACCAGCTCACCAGGATGAAATAAACTGTGCCCGCAGGCAGGACAAACGCAAGCGGTGCTTCCATTCCGAGCCAAAGGATCCTTTGCTGAACCCGCTTCACCAGTCTCAATGTTCATCCAGCTGGCTGTTCCAATGGTCGGAAATTTTGTGGCGTTGCCTGGAACTAGCTCCAAACCACATAATTGTTCATAGTGGGCTTCCCCCCAGGACGACAAACCCTTGGAAAAGGGAAAAAGAGGCTTCCCATTTGGCTTTGTCTCCAAGTAGGGGAATCCCTAAAATGGTCAGTTTGCTTTTGATTTCCTTCTAAGCCCAGAGAAACGGTTATCTCCAAAAACGGCACAGAACCCAAATACTTCGATACGCACGCGACAAGCCGGCACACACCCCCCCCTCCACACACACCCTCGCTCCAGAGTTGCATCCCCACTCCGCATGTGCACGAGAAAAAACAAGAAAAAAAACGCCAACGACGGGGTCGCGCCAGCAGGTAAACGCTGATCTCCACCTGGCCATCGCCCGAAGGACATAAGGAAGCTGCACAAGCTGTAAAAGCTAAATAAGCTGCTGCTGCTGCTGCTGCTGCTGCTGCTGCTGCTGCTTCAACGTTTGTGTGGGGTCTATCAGCTTCCCTCGGATTGGTGGTTTGGTTTGGCTTGGTGGTTTGGAGACCAGAGATGGTTGCCCAGTCACCCCAAACCACCAATCCAAACCAACTATAGGGGTTACCTGATGCTCGGGTACTCGCAAGGGACTAAAACAACAAACAGAAGCGGTGAGCCAACAAAAGCCCCCGAAAACGCTGCATGTCCTGGTTGCTCTACTAACCTTCACTGGCACAGCTCTGATTTGGGCACTGCGTCTCCCACTTCAGTCCTATCGTCGAAGGTGACCCTGGTAGAAAACCCAGTCAAGGTCAGGGACTCCAAGGGGCTACACCACAGCACAACTTGAGTTGGGAGCCGGAAAGTAAACCGCGACAGTGCGCTGAAACGGGACACGGCCCGGTTCGGAATCCTTCCACCCGGTGCTCGCCCAAACAGACCAGAGCCCTTTGTAGCAAAGTAGTACGAGATGGCTGTGAATCTTCATGGGCTCGGACTTTTATCCGCCAACAACTTTTGATGGGTTTCATACTATGAGCTAACAATCCATTCTCATTGTAGGACAGCTTTTTGCTGGCCTGTTATTCAGGCAAACCGAAAGGCCGAAAGGTTTGTGCCCAAACGGACCACCAAATTCCAAACCCCCTAAACGGACGCCAAGCCTGTTAGCTTCTCCCATTGGCTTGGCCTTGTCAGTCGTCAGTCCTGCATCTTTCAGCCCAATGTATGCGTGTCTCCTAAAACTTAGAACGTCCTATCATGTTCTGGCTTAGGCACCCAAAGGGAAACCCCCTTTTGCGTATCGCCGAAATCAGTACCTCACAGATAGGTCCTGGCTTGCAAGATGTCCCTTTGAACAACCTGCTGGATTCCATGGCAACGAGAGGGTACATCCGTTCTTTTTCAAGCAAACCGCCATCCTTTTCTGGTAGGGATTCCAGCAAAGCTCTGTCTTTCTCAGCCCCTAAAATGGACAGAACCCTAAAAAACAATCAACATCAATCAACCTGAAACCATGTGAAGATTCCCTAGCCCTCACAACCTCCCGACACGGGCGGGCCAGCTGCTTGGCCGACTCCCCCTCCGCGTGTGCCAGGAGCCCCCGGCGCGGACCTATTCTTGCGTGGATGAAACCCAAAAAAGAAGGTCAAGTGATTGATCGACTTTTGTTTGCTTGATTGTTTGTTTGTCAAGTGAAAGAATGTTGTGTTTTGATCCTTTGACTTTTCGTTCTCTCTCTGGATCTTTGCGACTGTGGGCATGTTAGTGAAAAAGACAGAACAAAGAGGCAAAATCAGAGCTTTGGGGGGTGCCCTTCGAGCCAAAGATGTTGGATGCCCCAATTGTGAATATATGTCACTAAAGCTCACATGCAGCCTATGTACCATTTGTAACAAAGTGTAACAAAGGTGCGTAAAGCTTCTTGGCTGCCACAATCGGGGTTCCCCTCATTACAAAAATGCCACATTACCTAGTGTGGACCCCCATCGTTCGCAGGAGATTCACCATGAGTTTCATCATGCTGCCTTGTTTTGGGGCGTGCTTCTCTTTAAAGTCGGCAAACAAACCAATAAACGACGACAATTTGATTGGCCCAAAACGCGGAAACACGGGATCTGCTCTATTAGCAACTCTTTCCAGACAGTGCCCTGCGCCACTAGGAAAGCAAAGCGCAATTGCAATTGGGGACCATTACCAGAAAAGCGGGGCGAAAAGGAAACAACAAGCAGTTAACGGCTCACGTTTGCGCAAAGGACCGTGATCTGAGATCACCAAAACCATGAAACCAACTCTGGAATCGGCCGATTGGCAACCGAGAGATCGATTGGCTTTCGACAAGCATGACTTGCCATCCCCGACCCTAAGGGGTCCAACTAGTTTGGGTGCCATGGTGGGAATGCGGAAGTAAAGCCGCCTGAGGTTGCAAATGAGTTCTTCTGACTTGTTCGAAAGTGGAAGCACGTAGTCAAATTCTGTGACTGCTTTCTTTGAGGGGGCGGCTGAACATGGAGAGTTGGCAAACAAATCCAAAGCCCCTGCTGGCTGCCGAAACTGCATGGCTTTGTGATACCAAAGTGAGAACTTCATCACTCTTCGAGCTGTGGGGCTTCCGTTGGAATCGAGCCCAAACCCCTTACTTTTCAACATGACCCTAGTCTCACTTGCCCAGCGGACCCAGAAACAAAAGCTCACAACCATTTGGGGCCATGGCAAAAGATGGGCAACGGGGAAAACTAAAACCTCAAAAGGTCGATTCGCTTTGGGCAAAACAAATGTAAATTCCACTGCCAAAGGCTAGTTCCCATGGAAAAACATATCTTCGGTGAGACCAAGGCAGGGTGCCTCGTTGCTCTGACTGAAGTCACTAGGGGATGCTGCTGGCATTGCTTAAAACAAGGCCCAAGCCTCTGAGAGCAAGCGCAACGAATACATTCCCGAATTCCAAAGCGCAAGCTGCCCAAACTGGAACAATTGGCCCCTTTAGATTCCTGGAAGCCAAACCATGGGCCACTCGCACCTATTGGAATGGCTCCAGCTTTGCCTCGGGCGCAGTTCGGTCGATATCTCGGAGCCCGGCGTTCTCTTCGAGACGGCACCTGGCATCGCTCACGGCTCACGGTTTTCTTTTGGATGGTTTTACAGGGTCAACAAAGGATACCACCTACCTGGGGTGATTGGTTCCCAATTTTGGTTAGAAACACCCAAACAGAGGAACTGTGAAAAGTGTACTTTCACCAACCTGCAAGCTGCTTGTTTGTCTCCAATGCCCACCTCATATCCATTTGGGTGGATATACCCCAAAAGTCCTGAGCTGCGTTTCCAGGCAGTGGCCCTGGGTGACCACGTGCGACTTAGTACTTGCAGGCTCCGATGTAAATGAAATCGCTTGGTTTCCCCTTGGCAAGTATAGAACAGGTTAAACAACCGGGAAGGGTCACAAATGAACCCTGTACACAGCGCGCTTTTTCTTGAGCCATATGCAGTCGTAATGATGAGACTGCACAAGTGAGACATTCATGCATTGGGGTTTAACATGGTTGATAAATACATCACATTGCAAACTACACCCCCCGTGCCCGAACGTGAAACAGGAGGACAAATGAAAGGGATGAAACAACCAAAGAAACCCGATAGGCATGAAGTCCTTTTGCAGCACATAAGCACTTGAATGCGAGCAATCGGCAGTTAAGGTCTTCCGCCTCCACTGACCGTCGCTCTCGCGAGGCGTGCTCATGCACTGTACATTGATCCTCGGCCAACATGATTGAGAAGTATAATGAATATTGAATTTGAAATGTAAATGGATGTCAGCCGAAGATAGAAAAGATTGTTGAAGAGATCGCTCATTCATCGCCAATCCCAATTGCGGGAGCTCTTCCACGGGCGCTGATC